TATTCATTGTGATATAGGCTCTGGAGGTTCTTGAATAAATAGTATCTGTGCTGTGAGTCTAAAACAGCTCGGAAAATGTATTTGGGCAACAGGGGTTTCTAGCTCCTTGAGAGGTACATGTCCTCGACATGGCGGAGCAGGCCTTCCCTGTCTGCCGGCGCTAGGGGAGTTCCTTGTTTTCTTATTATGAGACATAGCTTTCATGGGACTTCGCGTTTATAGGACTTAGCTTTCATGGGACTTAGCTTTTACGGGACCTAGCTTGTGTTTTTTGTAAACGGGGTTCTTGTGTTCTTATTATGGGACTTAGCTTTTTATGGGACTTAGCTTGTGTTTTTGTAAACAGGGTTTCATGCGTTCTTGAGTTCTGGCCGACGCAATGAGCAGGGGCTTTGCGCTTACAGTATATAAACTTCAGCTTCATTGGGCTGATACCAGTTTCAGGTTCCCAATCCATTCGCTCCCCAGCCAAAGAAAGTAGGAGAGCACCGTAAAACCCAGTAGACCTGCGCTGCCCGAAGGGCATGTGGCATCCTGAAACACCGTTTTTTTCGATAGGTGAATCCCAGACATACGCTGAATCTGGGCTCCATGTTGTGACTACGGCCCTGAACCTTAAATCAATCATGCTATACGTGACCTGATATGCCTCCTTAGCGAACATTCCTTTTTCTTGAGGCTTCAGTCTTGTTTTTGGGCATTGAATGTGTAGACATTCACCAAGCATGCGTTTCCTGTGCCCTCTAGGCGCCACGATCTCATGTTTTCCTTCATCGAGCTGCAAAAAAGCGAAAGAACTCCAGCAAACGGCAAGTGTAGAGCTCAACAGTTGCCCTGCACAAAGGGCCATAGGTTCAGTAGAGCCTTCCCACAGCCCACATCCGAAGATATCTGAAGCAGGTGCGGGCAGCCGGGATGGTGTTGAGCACGCAGGCCGCCACTGGCACATCACATTTTTCCTTGCCATGGTCATCAGTGGACTCCCGTAAAAGTTGTGTCTCTGGAGTTGTTCGTGGTGTTCGCACCTGTGCAACCTCGAAGTGTGGTTATGAGTTTGACAAGCAGAATCCGAAGCTGTAGAAACTGGGTTGTGTGAATAACGCCACGACATCTCACATTTATTTGGGACAGGTTTCCCCCATAGACGATCTTTGAGGCAGTAAGCTCCCAAACTCTCAACTCTGGCCCCCTTCAGGTCCTGCAATGTAGATGGCAGGAAGCAGTGGGTGAGGCAGCAAAGCCTGTGGAAGACTGATGGATGAGTAAGGTTCTTGCTGAAGGCTCCGCGCTTCTCCCGAGACCTAAAAGCCTACATGTGTTGGGTTTCTCACACTGGTTTTCTGATATGTTTCCTGCAACCAGTTAGGTTCTCGAGGTTTAGGTAGGCCCTGTACGACCTAAGCCCCGAAGGTCAAAAAGAGTCAACATTGGATTGTTGACTTTCCTTCAAGCACTGCGCACCTACTACCCCAGAGCACTTCTTGTTCAGCGTTATAGCAGAATCCCCGGCCAGGGTTCGATTGAACAAGTGGCTTTAGGGTCAAGGCAAGCCGTGTGAAAAGCCTCGTAAACCCTAGTAAAGCCGCTACACGGCCTTGTAGAACCATGGGTTTAGGAATTGATTGCCTCTGCTCGAAGGACTGCTGTCAGTGGGGCTGTGTTACCGGTTGTTTGGTGGGTGTTGGTCCGTCCCAGCTCTGGGCAGCAGCTGACAGGTGTCATAGAGTAGCCGAGAGCCTTACACCATAGAGCCTTACACGGGAGTTCCCGAAAATTAGGGGTTCCTACTATTCAGGGTTAAATATTAGGGTTCCCTATTTTCGGAAACTCCCACATAAGCCTTACAACAGTGAAGTCTTCCCCATCCCTCAAGCTAGGCCAATGCTGCAAAAGAGCTTTTGGTCGGAGACTGAGATCTGCGTTGGGGCTTACAGGGTTTGCAGGGGGTTTGGGTTTTTCGCGTTCAGGATGTTTCACATGTCGTCACAAAACCCCGAAACCGTCGGCACACTTCGACATCGTGGCTGAGGCCACCGACCTCAAAAGCACGTTGCAGAGCATTCTCATGGAGGTCCAGCAACTCAGGACTGGTTTAGGGTTTGGGCTTTTCAGGTTCTAGGGGTTATAGGGTTTAGCGGTTTCGGATTTTAGGGTTTAGGGTTTGGACGTTTTAGAGTTCGGGGGTTTTGGGGTGTAGGGTTCAGGGGTTTGTTTCAGCTGGCGGGGATGGCTCAGGTACACTGTCCCGTAGTTTGGGAGAAGAGGAGTTCAGGAAGTTCCACATTAGCGGGTTCTCTCATAGCACGGATCACCAACTACGTGCTATAGTTGCGTCCCACAGTCGATTTTGGTTTAGAAATATCCTCATACAGGGTTCGGGAGCTAAGGAATTGCAGTCCTGCGTAGTGCCACAAACCCTGATTCCTACAGCAAGCCCTCGCGAGTGTGCAGTACAGGGCTACATGATGCGGGGGTAGGAGCGGTAGTCAGGGTTACATTCAGCATAGGCTGCTGGGCCGACCCCAACCTCAACCACACAATCCAAGAGACATGCAGGCAGGGGTGGGAATAGATGCCATGCGCCTGCAGAGTCCCAACATGCATTTACAGCACAGTTGGCCCCAGGACCCCAGTCAAAAGTTTGAGGATACCGGCCACAACACACCCGTCTGCGACAGCACCTAAACCGGCACCACAAAGCCCCGGGCTCCTCAGAACATATGTTTAAATTTCGGTGTCCGATAATGAGGATCCTATCAGTGTCCCCCCCCCCCCCCGCCCCCCCTGAAGCTCCGAAATAGCGCCCCTAAGGCCTTAAGGCCCCTCAAGCCTGAACCCCTGCACCCTCAAACCCGCAAACCCTGAACTGCGCAAAACCGGAAGCCTGAGCCCCCTTTCAACCCCCAAACCTGAAGGCCCGAAAGTTACAAAAAGCTTGATTAACTACCAGTACGAGAATACAAGACCCGTATTATCGAAGCCTCATAGAAGGAACCTCCCCAATATGAGAGGACTTTACTCGGCTGCCGATTCCTGTGGAGGCGGTGGGCCTGGACCTCAGGAAGTTGCAAAGAGTACATGGGAGCTTCTTCCTCTGTGTGTTCCTTACGAAGCATTTCTCACGCTTGGTACAAGCATCCAAGGGAATGCAAAAAGCCTTCAGCGTCTTAGGGTACTTTTTACCGGCCCTCTTTTGTTTGTTAGTGGGTGGGTTTCGTTGCTCCGAAGATCCCCAAACCTTCACGTTTTTCTCTAGGCTGTGAGGCTTTTATGGCTTTGGGGTTTGGGGTTTACCGGGTCGCCCCCTAATTTAGGAGGTCTCAGCCGTGGAGGCTTAGCCCCGGCTTGCAACTAAGCCCTCAGCCCTAAACCCAACCCATAGGCCCCAAAGTAGTTCCTTTTGGGGGTTCATATGGGAGTTTCCGGACATTAGGGGTACCTTGTTTTGGGGTCCTTATAAGAAGGGTCCTACTATTTAGGGTACTACATTAGGGTCCCCTATTTTGGGAAACTCCCATGAATAGAAGTCTATTAGGTAGTCCCAAAAAGGAACTACTTTGGGGCCTATGGGAAGAGCCTTGCAACCAGGAAGAGTTCGACTTTACGTTCTGCAACGTGGCACTGCCCAATGCCATCGAGGTGGGAACCCTGCAAGGCTTTTCCTGCCTGCAGATATGTGCGTCGAGGTTTGGGCTGTAGGGCCTTGGGTCAACAAAATGTTTTCGTGTTTAGATCAAGCCGAGGAGGCAGACAGAGAGAGAGAGAGGTAAGCATGAAAGGAAGGAGCCGGCTCTTCACAAACAACCCCCATCGTCCGGCCCTTTCAGCCCGCGATGACGGAAGCTATCGAAGATCACAGGCTTGCATTTAGGGATCGGCTTTCGGTTGCGAGTCGGTAGCCGAAACATTCCACGCTTGCGGTATGCCATGTCTTGCCAGTGCTGCCTGGCGGCACTGGTGCTGGCGGTGGCTGCACTGATTTTGAGCCTCAGCATGCAAGGGAGTCGAAATTCTGCAGTGATGACACCATTTTCAAGGGTCCCAATATGGGGGATCCCTTCTCCAGCTTCTAGCGTCTCTTCATAAAGAGCCGTGTTCGTGAAACAGCTCGGCCTCGAAGCATGGTTTGGGGTTTGGTGGGAGTTTCACAAAGTTCAGGGTAGATCGTTATAATCTATTTTAAGGTACTATCCGCCACAGCCATCAGTCCCACTTCGATCATCGCGCCATCGACATAGGCACCTCGACCGGCACAGCGGCAGTGTCAACACATATTCGGCATCATCCGCCACATCGGCATCCCGCTGCTGCGATCCCCATGCTTGTCAGCCGGAGTGCCAGCGGAATCCAATCCATGAAGAGGGTCACGAACACAATCTAGAAACCCTAAACCCTAAACCGGATCATGCCTTGCCATGAAATTGATAATCGCCAGCGTCGCGACCAAGTGGTCATCTCTTCGCTGTCGAAGCCAGCCGACCCATCATGGAATGACCTGTTTCCATTCCTGGTGCATAGCAGTATTCTTAGCATCTCGGTTGTAGAGATGGTACACTTATCAGTCCTTTCGTTCGTTATCCTCATCGTTACGGTCATTGTTTTTTGTTCGGGGATGTTTCCTGGAGTGGAGCCAGCAGTTATGCAGTTTCGAATGTCGGGGCCGGTTTGCTGCCCAGCAATTTTGGGATCTTACAGGTTTCAAGTTTAAGTGCTGAGATGGGTCAAGTTAGTACTGGAGGGCATGGGCCGTCAAGTTGTGCTAGATTCGAGGATTTGGCATGCGGATCCGAAAATGAAATCACAGTTCCGAGGGCGTTCGTCCACTACAAAATGTGGCGGCACCTGTTGGACAACAAGGTGGTCGGCGAGGCCTGGCATTCGGCACTGGCTGCTCCGTCCTAATTAACAAGAGAAACCGAGTGATTTCGGTAATTGGCCATGAGAATAACACAGCCATGGCAGAGACAGTGCTGACGCAAGAGCCTGCATCATACCTCTGTAGTTCAGGGCCGTCCGACATCCAACACTTTCTACAGCCCTGATCCTTGGGGGTTTGGATCTAGGGGCTTTTCGGTGTTTTGCACGTGCATCCAGGAGTTGGAGAAGTTCTCCAAGAAGTACGGCTACTTGCAGACAAGGCCTGGGTCAAAGGGCAGTTTGAGTCTGCCGTGGCATGAACAACAGTCAGTACTGACCCGAGGGCTAGCGGCCAGATGCCTCCTTCCTGCAGGAAGTGAATTCGGCCATCAGGCGGTCTCTTGGTGTCTACGAAACGGCACGTGAGACTGGCAAGCACAGCCATCGCGATGCTTGCTGCTTGCTTGAGGCTTTTGATCTAGGTCATTTCAATTAAAACCAGATATGCAGTAACCCACCCTGCAAAGACTAAGCCATGTGGTGTTGCTGCTTGATATCATGCTAAAATCAGCCGCATTACATTACCCCCCCCCAGTCAGAAAAAAAAATGTTGGGCGTTTCTGCCACGTTGCAAGGGCCCGGGTCGATTCACAGGGAACCTGTGGATCTAATTTCCGGTGACGACGAGCCACATGGTACTTCACAGGGGCATGGTTAACTTCAGGATCTGCAGGCTACCCCAAAACCCTCAAACCCCCGTGAGCCCTGTAAGCCTTGCACCCTTTTAGACGTTGACCCGCGGAACTCGCACTTCGCCCACAGCAAAGCGCCACCGACAGGAAGTACCGGAACCCTAGGTGTTGCAGAAAAGAAACCACCACGAGCCCAAAAAGGAAGTACCACAGGCAACAAACCGCGGGGCAGGCCAAGCCTTCCTTCGGTTTGCTTTTGGGGGTGCACAAGAGCTCCGAAGCGGAAATGAAGGGAAAGGTAGTGGGCACGATGCAACTCACAAGTTCTTGTGATGACTCATATGCCCTTGTCACTGCGGCACCTATTGCAAATCCGCAACCACCCTAAATTGCTCGGGTTCAGGCGTAGCCGATCGTTAATGTACGGGACGTCATCTTGGGTTGTGGATGTTGGATGGTGCTTAAGGAACGGCTCTCCGTCATCAGACGGGACCGATACCTTCTTCGCCAGAGCAGCACCCTTGACGCTTTCCGCGCAGCCTATCAAGAGCCTATCAGTAGTTTGGAATGATCCACATTTGTTGGCTTGCGCACACGGGCGCCTGCAGATTATCAGAACTACGCTTCAAAAAGTATGTGTTGAAACACAATGAATACGGCTTGAAAGTTGCAATAGAAGCCCGCATCTTCGACCCGCTCTTTATCCTCCGTGAATGCACCTTCTGTCGCCAGCATGGGCCCAGTGACTGCCTCAGCTTCGTTTGCACTTCAGAGGATGTTGGCCTTGAGCTTGCAGTTTCCTGACTTGTGGGTCCTACGGTTGATGGAATGAATCCTGCATTACCCGTAATAAGGAATATGCCATAGTTCCCATAGCTTAGGGTCCTTAAGGTAATGCAGGATTTATATCATCAACCGTAGGGTAGAGGCCGAGGGCCTGGCCTTAAGTACGGAGATCTCAAAAAATACGGATAATGGGAAGAGAGTAGGGAGGTTTTTTTTTAACATGTAGACGAGGAATGACGGGGAGAGAGGGAAATAGAAAGGCATACGTAACTTTTCGGTTAGCTAAATTAACCCAGAATTTAGGGTTTAACAAACCCCGAAACTACCTAGAGTCATCGCCTACGCTTTCTAGGATACCTAGTTTTATGATTTGGATCTGTTGTATAGCAGAGTAAGGACTAGGGTATGAGCCTACAATGCAAACCCGAAAGGCTTTCACTAACTCCGAAATTGAGGTTTAGTTAAACCCGAAATCTAAAGTTTCGTGAAACCCGAACCGCTAAGACCGAGTTAGCTAAACCCGACATTATAGGTGTAGCTACCCGAAATTAAAGGTCACCCCATTGCCTTTTAAGCCAGGTTGAATGAGAGCTTGCCGTGAGGCTGCAATGGGTGCTCCTGGCTGCCAGTCTCCCGCTGCCGCCACCCTTCGACGCCCTGAGCAGCGAAGATTTGCGACGTGCCCGGGCGGTGGAAGAACGGTCTGTGCTCGACAAGATTGAAGAGTTGTTCAATCCGTTCTGGGCTTCGAGACACAAAGAACATTCCGGGGTGTTTCGCTGTTGCAGCCTGTTCGAGTTCAGGAATGTTGTTGGGCGTGGAAGTGTTGCAGGATTAGGAAGATTTTGCCGAAGGCCTCGGAGAATCAAACGATGCTCTTGAACGGTCATGCGAGGCCACGCCCACGCAGACCGCAAAAAAGCCCTTTACCCGGGTAATGAGGGTAATGGGGTTAACATGCCTGCGGAACTGAGACTTTCTAGCACCAGAGACGTGCGACACGGGATTTCAGAGTATCGAAGTAGGTTTCAGGGTGTCGGCCCCTTTCAAAGGGGTCGGTCAGGCCCAGAAATGTGAGCCCAAATCGCCTTCGGTCACACGCGTGCCGGGTGGCTCTAGCTGTGGGGCTGCCATACCTCATTTAATACGTAGAAGCTGCACCTTGCACTGACCTGCCGAATCGCAGTTGGCAGGTGCTGCCGCCGACCTGCTGCAAGGACGCCTGAACTGCTCCGCCACAGGCCTGGTACTTCACAGATGCAACCACCGAAACGGATTGAGGACCCTGCATCACATACGGTAGCCACATGCCCTATGTCCTGAGCCCAGCTTACGTGCAGCCAAGCAGTGGCTGACGCAGCTCAGATGAGCTGTTGATACTGGAGGGTGCAGTCCTGGGGTTGTCCTGAACTTGACGAAGGTTTGGTTGATGTGTCCTCCCGCTTTGGGAATCATCCTCCCAAAGCTCTTTCGCAACTCATGTCATGTAAGCACTTGATTAAAGCAGCCATGGACTCCGCATACCTTCGAACCAAAAGTTTCCAGAGCACTAAGCCCTAAACCCTTCAAGGCCGAATAGAGAGCCTGAGCAATTTTCAACCATTAACCCGTTGGGTTTCTGATAGTTTATGATGATTACACTATAAAACACACCTTAACCCATTTCCAGTTCAGCTGTTGTAGCAGACATCTCCAGAACCGAATCAAAATCACGTTTCAATTAGTTGTTTACATGGATACTGGTGCCTTGTTCTTGCTGGTGATCCAATCTTCCAAGAAATCTTGAAAATAGAAATCCCCCTAGATAGCTGTAATGTACCCCGAAGCCGTTATCATGAAATTTTGTAAACTTAACACCCACAAGAACACTCATAATCACTGCTCTGTATCATCTTCTCATTGCAGCCCGTATTTCCCCGAGCCCGCGGCTGAGCGCTCCAGCAGAAAACCAGTTTAAACCTTCACTCGAAGAGTCCGAGCGCCAGGGCTTAGGCCCTGATGACAAGTGGGTGGTTGTCAAAATTGTGGGCCCTTTTTGGGTCCTTATTATAATACGGCACATTGCGGCACCTATTATTTAGGGTACCCAAAAAGGGACCCTGATTTTGACAACCACCCAAGTGTTGTCATTTGCATCACTGTTACGGTAATCTTGCTCATGGTTTTCGTTACGAGCTGTTACAGTATAGTTCTTGATTGATAACTATCATACCGTTAGTGACGGTGATAATCCGACCGGGCTTGAACACTCGTCGAAACTGAGGTCAGGAAGCCTTGACATTGCAGGCGCGACGCTCCAAAGCTCCCAGCTGGTATGCTCTGACGTTACTATAGGGGCCTTTTGGGGGTTCCTTATTATACTTGTAGAATAATGACCCCGAAGCCCTGTTTTAATTATTAAGGCCCCTAGATTAGAGGGTTTGCAGAGTTTTCCTGCGCATGCTTTGGCCCACGCTGAAGACATGATGATGGCTTCTCGAGGGTGAACATACTGTGATAGCATGGCCTCCCTAGTTGAAGTCTCTACTTGAAGGTTCAGGGTTGGTTATAAGTGGGGATATATTTAGGGTAACTATAGTTATAACCCATACTAGGGGACTTGCAGCTCCACGTATAACTACCCATGAACCTCCAAGTAGGACCTGAATGCCGCATTCCGAAAACTAATTCGCGAACCCTAAACTGTCGGCAAAACAGGCCTGAGCGCTACACCCAAACCCAACACCGCTAACCCCTAGCAGCAAAACAACACAAACTCCAACAAAAACGTAGTATAGGGGCTTAAATTAGTTACCAATACTATTCGGGGGGGGTCCTTATTAATTGTTATCATTGCTATAGTATAATTTATGGCCCCGTGGATGCGAAAGGCCTTGCGACGCTTCGGCGCCATCCCAAACTCCTGCTGGGCTGCGGGACTCAGCCGAGCCCCTTGTCAGAATCAGATTCTGCATAACATAGGGGCCTTGAGAATTACCTCTACTATTTTGTGGATTCGCAATTAATGTAATAGTATAACGGGACCAAAACCCTGCATTACTGCTGCATAGCGACGTGATCTTGTCGCCGGTGCTCAAGAGTACCAAATCGAAAGTTTCGTCCTCGAGTCACGGGGTGCCGACTTGCTTTTGAAGGGTCAGTCGTCGGAGTGTCAGAAGGACCCAAGGAGGCCCAAGCTGATACCCAATCTACAGCATGCCTGCTGTGCGCTGTGCCGAAGCATCTAAAACGACATCATGTGTCCTAGGTTTAGGGGTTTAGGGCTTAGGGTTTAGGGCTCAGGCATGAGCCCCTAGGCTGTTAACTGTTGGATCTGCATCTGAATTCCCTTGGCTTTGTTTCCGGAAAGCGTCTGAGGCACTCTGCTGTGCTTTTCCAGATTCTAGCCCCTGTTTCGCCGAAGAGGCGCTGTCTGGGCGGGACCTTTTGATTTTCAGATTTGTTTTCTAGATCCTGTAGGGTTTAGGGTCCCTAAACCCTAAACCCTATACCTGGGCTGGGTGCCAGCCCACCCCAGACCACTTCGAGAATGCAAAGTTGATGAAAAACAATGAGACGTTGGGATGTCGCGGCCGTACCACCAACAATGACCAAAAACCCTACTCCAAGTATCCAGGCCTCTATGTTACTTCTGCATTGACCCTGTTTGTGAAGGATGAGTGGGGGTTTGAGATGACTCCACATCCTGTTCGGCTACCTTTGCTTGTAGCCTCAGGTTTGCAGTGTTACAGCTTCTTCGAAAGATCTCGTCCGAAGTAGTTTCACGCGGTTGCTGCTAACATACCAGTCAGAGTGGGGTTTGAAAAACTGGTCATACCATTTATACAGTCCCTCAAATTAGTCCGGTACTATAAAAACACCCCAAGCACTGTTCTGAGTATTGATGCCCCAAAGAGTTCGCA